GTCGAGGCCCCTGATCTGTGCCCAGCCCCGGGGAGCCCGCGCTCACACTGTTCTTTTCCGCAGAGAGCTGTGTGAGCGACCCAGAGTGCCGCGAGGGCTTTCGCCGCGGAGCCCGCGCCAGCGACCGGAACAACGCCACGCAGCTGGACCGGCCCACGGGGGCCCTGCTGCTGCGGCTGCTGCAGCTGGCGGGGGCGCCCGAGCCCGCCGAGCCCATGGAGCTGGCCAAGCCCAGCGCGGACTGAGCCCATCCCTCCCGCCGCCCTGCCCCCGCCCTCCCGCGACAGCCCCTGTGGCACCGAAAATAAATCTTTGTAAATGCACTCGAGTGTCTGTCTCAGTCTCTGGGCCCGGGAGGAAAGAGGAAAATGGGTGTGGCGCGGACCCCGGTTCCGACCCAGTCAGTTCCTGCCCCGCGGTCGAGGGCAGATCCTCCCCAAAGAAGGGAGAGATGCTATAGAGGAAGCGATCCTGGAAACCAAAGAGGGAAATGTAAAAACAGAGGACAGGGCCACCTAGGGGAAGGCGGAGGGAAAAGTCCAGAGGCAAAGGATGACCCTGGAGATGGTGGGCTGGGGATTCTCCAACTGGGACAAAGAAGTCAAGGCAGGCAGGGAGAAGACGTGATGGGCAAGAGAGACTGAGACAGAGAAGGCAGACGAACAGAGAGACGAAGAGGCTAGAGAATGAAGGAAGAGTGAGAAGGGCAGAAGGGGACAAACCAAGGGCCACTATCAGTACCCATTTTCATTCTGGAGACTAGGACAAAAAGCTTAGGGGACACACACGAATGTCCCCAATTCCCAATGCAAGATCAACTTCATCCTAGTAGGGAGAAGTCCTCCTGCCATCTCTGCAGGTGGACCCACCATTAGGAACTTTCCACAGAGTGGCAGGCAAACCCCATTGAGAAACTATTGGCACAGATACAGCCTCACACCACCTTTCACACACTCGGAGAAAGAGGAAAGCAACTGCTATGGGCGTGCCTGTGACTCTTGACCACAACCAAATGGCTCCTTGAGAAGCACATTCAGAACCGCAGATGCCCAGAGAAACACACAGGGTACGTGATGATAGACAGGCACAAGTGTCCACACACTTAGGTGCACTCAATCTGACTGCCCTTTGACACACTCAACATCAGGGCAAAGATGTCACCAGCACTTGGCCCCTGCCCCTATATTTCTTTCTGTCCCTTCACCTCCCCTCTCCCTATGCGTCAGCTCCTTGGCTCTCTCTGGCTTCTCTCTCAGGCCCCTCCATCTCCCACTTGCCTCCAGTGTCTTCTCACCTCCTCATCACCTCCTATTTTTCTCTTTTTGTCCCTCTGCTCTCAGTATCCCCTCCTTGGGCTCTCCTGCTCCAGGCCTGGGGGCCACAGGAGGTTGCATTTTCTTGGGGATCCTCTGTCAGAGGATGGTCTGCCAGACTGAGGCCTGGAGGGATCCCAGGCAGAAAGAAATCACTCTAAGTGCTGCCCCTGCCCCCAAGACTTTGGCCAGATCCTGTGACCCAAGCAGCTCAGACTGGGTCAGCCCTGGACAGATGTGCCCTGGCCAGTTCAAGCTCTCTTGCAGTCTCCTCAGAGATTCCCATGTCCCACCCCTGACTTGGCCCTGGCATCCTGTGCAGTGAAGGCACTCAGCGAGACTGGGTGAAGCTGGGTAGGGCGGAGGTAGGACAGCTCCTGTCCCTCCTTCTTCTCTGTGAGGCTCTGCCCCCAGGTAGGCTAGGGCCTGGGCAGGGCTAGACTTCACAGGAATCTATTAACCTCCAGTCAGAAGAGGGTGGAAGAGCAGGTAGGTGGCTTGGCTGTACTGGATCCAATGCCTGGTGCTGGTGTCACAGTGAGATTCAGACCCCTCCTCTTCCTAGGCCTAGTCCCAGAGACTCCTTTTCCACCACCTGTAATCAGAACAGTCACACGCCCACCTCTGAGAAGGAGTCACCTCTGCCCACTGCCAACTTGCTCCATGTTTCTTCCTTTCCTGAGCCCCATGACCCAGCTGCAGAGTCAGTTAGGGGTAAAATCCACAAGCGTCAGGTAGCTCTTGCTCTGTCTCTTCAGTCTCTCCAGGGACCGAAGGACTTTGTCAGCATGTGACAAATGTCAAGAGTTAAGAAGTGTCCAGGTCTCCACACTTGTGAGTTCATAAAATTGAAATGTGAGCATCTTTTTAAAATTCTCCCAATCGGGCATGGTGGTGCTGCCTCTATTCGCAGCTGCTGGGGAGATTGAAACAGAAAGATCTAAAGTTTGAGGTCAATTTAGGTAACTTAGTGAGACCCTGTATTTAAAAAAAAGAAGGAGAAAAATCTCGGTTAGTCTCAGCAAAGGCTATTTGATTACCTTAATTTTATTTTATTTATTTTTATGTAGTGCTGAGTATCAAACCCAGAGTCTTACACATGCTTGGTGAGTGCTCTACTGTTGAGCCACAACCCCAGATCTGTGATTACCTTAATATTTGTATATAAATAATTTTATGCTTAAAAAATGTTTCTTCTTCTTCTTCTTCTTCTTCTTCTTCTTCTTCTTTTTTGTGTGTGTCTGTGTTTGCTTTTTCTGTTTTCTGTTTTTGTAGTGTCAGACATGGAACCTGGGCCTCCCATGGGCTAGGCCTGTGCTCTACCTCTGAGCTCCATCTCTAGCCCTTGTTTGTGTTTTATTTAAGTGTTTTCTGTCCTTTGTTATTTTGGGTTTCTCCTTCATGTACGTTTGGGCTTTCTCTGTTGACTTCTCACCAATCTCAAGTTCAATATTTAGCTTATTAAGAAGCAGGCAGAGGGCTGGGGATGTGGCTCAAGCGGTGGCGCGCTCGCCTGGCATGCGTGCGGCCGGGGTTCGATCCTCAGCACCACATACAGACAGAGATGTTGTGTCCGCCGAGAACTAAAGAATAAATATTAAAGTTCTCTCTCTCTCTCTCCTCTCTCCTCTCACTCTCTCTTTAAAAAAAAAAAAAAAAAAGAAGCAGGCAGAGTCTGGAAGTGGTGCTCAGTGGGAGAGAGTCTGAATATACCAGGCCCTGGTCCTCTTCCCAGCCCAGAAGGATCAAAGAAGCACTTCTTGCCTTCCCTTACTTACCTAAAGCTGCATGCTTTCCTCTGTGTCCTGCTTTCCTCCTTTGACCTTTGGTGATATCCTGAAGATCACCAAGCTCACCCAAGGGCTCTTTGTAATAGGTGTATAGAGTGTGGCCACGTGAGCCTTTTCTTCAGCCATCTTTTGTCATCTTTAATTTTAAGCATTGAGATTAGAGAACATCATCTGTACGGTGTCGATTCTGTACCAATTGCTTTCTTTGGTGGCTTGTCCATGGTTGGATTTTTGTATTTCATGTGTCCACCCCGCCAAATCATACATTGTCTGGCTTTTCGGTATGTTTTCTAGATATTTGTTAGTTCAAAGTTTTAAATGGTGTTATTAAAGTCTAGTATATCTTTGCTCATTTCATCAGATTGATGTTTGCGAGTATATGTTGAAACACTCCAAATAAATTATTGGCTGGCGGTGGGGCAGCTGCTCAGTGCTAGTGCAGCTGCCGAGACTGTGTGAACCCTGGGTTTGTCCCCAGCAACAGCAACAACAACCAAAAAAAGCCGTTTTTCCTTTCTTTGTCATTGTTCTCTCACTTGTTGCTTGATCTGTATTTTAAGGCAAATTGCTAAATACAGATGTGCTCAGTATCTTTTTGATGTATTGTTGTTTTTACCTGCATGTAGCAATCACATGTCCCTAATGATCTTTCTCCTTGATTATATTTTGCCCAATATCAACATTTTTCCCTTGTATTTCTTTGGTTTTCTCTTTGGATGACATGACTTGCCCCATTCGTTGTTGTCAGGTCTTTTTCTATTTCTTCTTTTCTTTTGTGTGATGCTGTGGATGGAACCCAGGGTCTCACTGGTGCTAGGCAAGGACTCTCACACTGAGCTACATTCCCAGCCCTTCCTTTTATTTTCTTCTCTCTCTCTCTCTCTCTCTCTCTCTCTCTCTCTCTTTTAAAGATCCAAGGTTTTATTTATTTATTTATTTATATTTATTTATTTTTTTAGTTTTAGGTGGACACAATGTCTTTATTTTATTTTTATGTGGTGCTGAGAATCAAACCCAGGGCCTCATGCATGCCAGGCGAGTGCACTACCACTTGAGCCACATCCCCAGTCCTCTCTCTTTTGATAAGGGGTGTCACTGCATTGTCCAGGCAGGTCTCAAAACTGTGCCCTCAAGTGAACCTCTTGCCTCTGCATCCTGAGTAAGTGGGACTGACGACAAGCAGAGTCCACTACACCTGGCTTTCTGTTTTTGTATTGTTTTGTTTTGTTTTCAGGTAAAATTTACATAGGGTAAGATTCACTGTTTTTGGTGTAGATTTCTGTGAGCTTTGATAAACATATTCATTTTAGTAACTTCCCAACCACAGGCAATTTGTAAAGAGTGTCATCTCTCCCCCACTCCAAGCTCCAAACTACAATTTGTCCCTAAATGCCATGTGCTAGAGACTTAGTCCCAGGCTTAGCACTCTTGGGAGGGGGTGGGTCTTGTGGGGGTTCTTCCTTTCACTGGGACCTGCCCTTGAAGGGGATATTGGGACCCAGCTCCTCTTCTTCCTCTCATTGTTCCTGGCCATGAGGGGAATGACTTCACCTCTTCTTCTCCTCCCCACCATGATGACTTCCTGGCCATACATCCAAGAGCATTTGGGTAACCAACCACAGATGGAGATCAGTTAAAAACATGAGCCAATATAAACTTTCTCTTTGGAAGTTGATGAGGTGAGGAATTTTGTCACAGTAAATGAAAGCTGACTGATACA